CTATTGATGCTAATTGCTAAACATCAGTCTATTGATGCTAAGCTAGCTGCTAAACATCAGTCTATTGATGCTAATTGCTAAACATCAGTCTATTGATGCTAAGCTAGCTGCTAAACATCAGTCTGTTGATGCTAATTGCTAAACATCAGTCTATTGATGCTAAGCTAACTGCTAAAACTCAGTCTATTGTTGGTGTTGACTTATCTCTGTACCAGACTGAACCTGATGAGGTTCTGATACTCAGGTTTTGATCCAGGTCTACCTGGATTCCGGTCCAAGTTCCTGAATCTTTTCCTTCTCAGCTGCTAATTGAATGTCTCAAACAGCTGTTGTCTTTGTGTCCTCTCTGCAGGCTGGTCCTGGTCCGGTTTCGCTGCTGACGTTTTCTGATTGTTGTTGGATTCTTCTCAGGGAGTCTCTGCCCCCACAGCCCCCCGGGGGGAGTGGAGGAGGCTGTTCAGGTTCTGAACCCTACCTTGGTGAGGAGGAATAGCCCCGCCCCCTCACCATGACAGACTTGGAGGCTGAGTGTTTGAGTCTCGGCCTGCCGCCGGAGTGCGGCTCCCCTTCCCCGCCTCTGGACCCGTCCCTGGACTGCGGCCCGGGGCCCGCCGGCTCGGCCCCGACGCCCACCCTGGCCCTCCTCACCTCAGACTGCCCCACGCCCACGCTCAGCTCGCTGGCGGCTGAGATCGCAGAGCCCCTGGTGATGCTGCCGTGTGTGAAGAGCGAGCCGGAGGACGAGGACCTGGAGCCCATCAGGACCGTGGACCTGTCAGAGATCCAGCCTCTGTCCACCGCTGAGCTGTGCCACGACCAGATCAAGATGGAGATCAGCGGCCTGGACTACATCAAGTCCGAGCACCACGGCAGCCTGTACCTGGGCCCGTTTCATCACAGTGACGTGTCGGAGCTGGACTACAAGACCCACTACGAGCCCATCTCTGTGTTCGACTACATTTCCCAGGTATCCTCACACCACTCCCCACCACCCACAAATACTTACCGTATTTATTGGTGTATAATATGATCTCATATATAATACGACCCCCCCCCCCTTTTTTTGAGCTTAAAAAGCATAAAAAATTTAATCCTCAAACTTCCTCCAATCTCATCCAGACTTGAAGATTTTTCAGTCTTTGCAGTCTTTATACATATCAGTAAAATGATCATTGGACTRTTCATTTTATTTTAACAACATATGTACTAAAAGGTATTTTGACAACAAATATATATCATCTGTAGCAGCATCATATGAATTCTGGCATTTATAGTCCACCAGGTGGTCCTTGGTTGGCCGTGAAGACTGGAGAAAAGTGTCTGAATTTGGACAGTCCAGCCTTCGGCTGTGTTCCTGTCCTGTTGCTAAACAGCAGCAAAAATAGATCAAAATTAGTAAAATATCAATATTCTTCAAGGAAACCTGCGATATGCGATAACAGTGCTTAATATTGCAATGAAATGAATTGTGATAAATAAAAATATATTTAATTATACAGTGTTGATGTTTTTCTGCTCTGTGTTCAGAGCAGAAAACAACTCATTTCCATTACAACATGGAGTGATTATGATTTGATGTTTCTCTGGTCCATTTTATTTATCAGACTGATCCTGACAAACAACATAAATTCAAACATTGGAGCCAATCATTCTTTGTAATTTATGATTTATTTGCGTTATGCATATTGCACTGGCTGTTATCACGATAACTATAAATTTGTGATATATTGTGCAGCCCTATTATTAATATCATAAAACATCAAAATTAGCTTAAAGGCAACATTTGAAGAATTAATGGACCTGATGTAGGTGCTCTTTGGATCTCTGACAAGAAGGAAATTAAAAAAAAGTTTATGCAAATGAGAAAAGCATCAACAACACAACTGCTTTGATTTTTACAAAACAGCCGACAGATCCAGCCTCAGTCTGGTTCTGAAGGATGAACGAGTCCGGCTCTGATCTCTCTAAAATCTTTTTAAACAAACAGCTGATTGATCAAGTCTAATGTTACAACTAATCGGGGATCCCTTTAAAAATCCAATCAGAACCTCGTGTATACCCCCCCCCCCCCACACACACACACACACACACACACTCACTATGGATGGTTTTTAGGGTTAAATTTCTATTATTACACATTATAATAAATACAGAATTTCTACTTTATCAGAACCAAGAGTTTGTTTTACTTAAAGCTTTTAGGAAATGAAGACGTTGGATAAAAACATTTTTTGTTTTCAGACTGAGCCCAGACCTGGTCCATGGTAGGGTCCAGACCTGGCTCAGTCAGGGTTCTGTACAAATGGGTTCTACCTGCAGCTCTGTTCTGGTTGCAGGTCACAGACACCCTGGACTATATCAAGTCAGACCACCATGTGGACCTGCAGTGTTACTACGCCACCGAGCTGAGCTCCCTGAAGTCCGAGTACCCCGAGTCCAACGCCATGTCGGCCCACCTGCAGCACAACGGCCTGGAGTCTATCCACATGGCCGAGCTCCGGACCGAGCTCAACAAGCTGCGGCCCGAGGCCCTGATCCTGGACGGCATGGGCAAACTGGACTCTGAGTTCGGAGGAGGGACGCTGTACGAGCTGCAGCCCGTCCAGGACGAGAAGGGCTCCGGGGAGGGGACGGCGGGCAGGGCCGGGGGGCGGGTCATCACGACCAAAACCCAGAGCCCAACGGTGAGAAAACCCCGCAACATGCAGGGTGAGAAACCGTTCTCCTGCACGCAGTGCGGGAAGAACTTCAGCACGCTGGGGAACCTGAAAACCCACCACCGGATCCACACCGGCGAGCGGCCCTACACCTGCTCGCAGTGCGGCAAGAGCTTCGGCCAGGCGGGAAACCTGAAACGCCACCAGCTGATCCACACGGGCCAGAAGCCCTACGTGTGCGCTCACTGCCCCAAAGGCTTCACCAAGGCCGACGACCTGCGCTCGCACCAGCGGCTGCACACGGGCGAGCGGCCCTTCATCTGCAGCGCCTGCAGCAAGAGCTTCAGCCAGTCCAAGGAGCTGAAGGCGCACCAGCTGAGCCACACGGGCGAGCGGCCGTTCTGCTGCCAGCACTGCGGCAAGAGCTTTACCAAGGAGACCAGCTACCGGAACCACATCCAGATCCACACCGGAGAGAAGCCCTTCACCTGCTCGCAGTGCGGGAAGACTTTCAGCAACTCGGGCGTCCTGAAGACCCACGAGAAGATCCACACGGGCGAGCGGCCGTTCGGCTGCACGCAGTGCGGCAAGAGCTTCGGCCGCCTCGGCCACCTGAAGGCGCACCAGCAGATCCACACGGGCGAGCGGCCGTACGCCTGCCCATGCTGCGCCAAGACTTTCAGCCAGTCGGGCCACCTCAAAGCACACGAGCAGATCCACAAACGAGAGCGGGCCGACACGGCCAGCACCAGCAGCGACGGCGGCAGCAGCTCCGTGAGCAGCGACAGCAGCTAAGACTCACTGCCGACCCTTTAACCTCCCGGAGAAACAAAGTATTATTCCTCTTTTTTATAAATACTATATATGAAATTATCTGTTTTCTTACATTTTCATACTTTTTGTGCTCTTTTACATTTTATTTGTGGGCAGAATGGACGGACTGATGTGTGCGTGAACACCTTATATACTGTGTGTCTGTGGGGGGCGCTGTAGATAATCCTCCAGCTGGACTCTACAAGACCAGGACTTATTTTTTACAGTACTTATGATACATGAGCACAAAGGTTTCAGTGACCAAATATAGGAATTTTTGTTTTTGTATTTCCTGTTTTTTACTGAATCAGACCAGCAGCTCCGGTCGGTCCGGGACCCCGTTACCGGCTGGGTTTTTATCGACCAGAATCGAGCGCACACGCTCACTGTTACCATGTCAGCTCTGTTTACAGGATCTACAGTCACAGTCAGAGGGCTCATCTCTGTAAACATGAATGTCAGACTCATTTGTTGTAGATTTCCTCTCATTCTCACAGGAAGCAGCAGAATTTGGTGAAGTTGGTTCAGATTTAAAGTGTCCGTTTCCTGTTTTCAGACCCGACTTTAAAGACTTATGCTGCGTTCACACCAAACACGATTTCAGCTTCAAAATCRCAGCCAACGCTGAAGTTTGAAGCTTGTGCACTTTGAGGTCAGACGCAGGTCAGCTCTTGAAGCGCTGCACGGCAGAGCCTCCCCGCCCCTCCCCCCTCTGTCGGGCTCTGTTTAATGTCAGACCAGGAAGTGGCTTTGCTTTATTTACAGAGAGCAAGAGCATGTCACGTTCATCAGATAATTAATTCATAATTAATTCACCAGATAATTCAGAGACATTCTGAGTTTCATCACCCAGGAGCTGTGGGAGAGGCTCACAGCTCGCTTTCAGGACTATTTTTGTCCCGAGTCCAGTCTGATGAGCCGCTGCCACGCATTGGTGAGGATATCTCTGTCAGGACACCGACTGCAGCACTCGATTTCAGCTAAAGAGCTCCTCTCCATCTGTTTCAGGTTAGTGGACATCATTCAGTAAACTGTCCCGTCAGGAAATATGTCACTACGTCACACAGTGGAGTCTCTCTGATTGGTTGACGCTGGAAATATGTCACTACGTCACACAGTGGAGTCTCTCTGATTGGTTGACGCTGGAAATATGTCTCTACGTCACACAGTGGAGTCTCTCTGATTGGTTGACGCTGGAAATATGTCTCTACGTCACACAGTGGAGTCTCTCTGATTGGTTGACGCTGGAAATATGTCTCTACGTCACACAGTGGAGTCTCTCTGATTGGTTGACGCGGCGCGTCGAGCTGCAAAAGTTCAGATTTTCTAACTTCAGCGATTTGCGCCTCAGCGCGTCGAACGCTCAGATCGTTCAAATCGTTCAAATCGCGCTGCTCTAATCGAGCTTGAGGCGCCGCAGAACTTCCTGACGCTGCTTGAAGCGCGTCCACCATAGACTTTGTATGTAAACCTGCTGCTCCTGATGCTGAAATCATGTTCGGTGTGAACGCACCATTACAGTCAGGCTGAGGTCAGGTTCCAGAAGGTTAACATCAGCCGGATTTGTCCAATCAGAAAGCAGATCTGATGTGTCCTGTTGGACTCAACTGTGTCCAGATTTCAGCCGTAAAGCTGTTGGTTTGAGGCCATTATTTTATCCCCAGCATGATGCCACCACCTCCGTGCCTGACAGCTGATATGAGAGCCTCACCAGGACTGCTCTAAAGGCCCCCACATACTCGGGCGAACCGTGTGCGCACTCCCTGGATGTTTCTGTGAGACGCTCTTTATCCATTTCATCCAAACATGACACAGATTCTCTAATTTCTCTGCTTGGTGTCACTTCCAAAACAGTTTGTCGTAATCTCAGTTTATTGAGTAGAATGTGGACGTAAAAAACTGATGTCTGAACGGACCTCTGCAGAGCGAAGTATGCCTGAGTATGTGGGGGCCTTAAACGTACTTCCTGTCCAGTTTTCTTCCATCTGAGGTGGACAGATGACTTGATCAGTCCAATGAGTGCTGTTTGTCAAACATTCATACAAATCATGCTAAAAGTCTGAAATTAGTCTGACATTCATGTTCTGATGAGTAGAAGAAACTTCTGACTGACTGTGTGAAGTACATTAAATACGTTAATCAGATAAACCTGTAGAAAACTGATGGAAGATAAACTGTGGGTACAGATGATGCAACGTTCATCAGAGAGATTATATCGTTTAACATCAACTGTTTGATAAAAGCAAAACAAATTCAGGGTTTCTGTGTTAAAGGCCTCCTGCTTTGGGTTTTAAACACAGTCTGACATAATTAGATCTTTAAGTTTGTGGATGGGACTCAGTCTGACATCATTAGATCTTTAAGTTTGTGGATGGGACTCAGTCTGACATCATTTAGATCTTTAAGTTTGTGGATGGGACTCAGTCTGACATCATTACATCATTTAGATCTTTACGTTGGTGGATGGGGCTCAGTCTGACATCATTAGATCTTTAAGTTGGTGGATGGGGCTCAGTCTGACATCATTAGATCTTTACGTTGGTGGATGGGACTCAGTCTGACATCATTTAAATCTTTACGTTGGTGGATGGGGCTCAGTCTGACATCATTACATCATTTAGATCTTTACATTGGTGGATGGGGCTCAGTCTGACATCATTTAGATCTTTAAGTTGGTGGATGGGGCTCAGTCTGACATCATTAGATCTTTATGTTGGTGAATGGGACTCAGTCTGACATCATTTAGATCTTTACGTTGGTGGATGGGGCTCATTCTGACATCATTAGATCTTTATGTTGGTGGATGGGACTCAGTCTGACATCATTTAGATCTTTACGTTGGTGGATGGGACTCAGTCTGACATCATTTAGATCTTTAAGTTTGTGGATGGGACTCAGTCTGACATCATTTAGATCTTTAAGTTTGTGGATGGGACTCAGTCTGACATCATTTAGATCTTTACGTTGGTGGATGGGGCTCAGGACGATAATCAGGAGTTTCCTTGGTTTTGTAGCAGTTTTATGTTAACGCTAACAGGAAGTCTGTTTTCAGCGCCCATTGGGCTCTAAACTCAGCACAAAAGTCCCGACACCCCCTCACCCCTCTTCGCCATCTTGATCGCTCACTGTGTACAAATCTATTGATGACATCATTCCTACAAAATGTAATAAAAGAAACAAAGATTCAGCATCTTGTACTGAAGTAATTAAACAAACTGACATCTTTGACTTTTCTCCTGTTTATACTGAAATGTCTGAATTATCACCTGCTG